GGGGAATAGTGTGGCCCAGGCCTGACTCTGACTGTTCCCTTCAGCACCAGCGTGCAGTCTTCTTCCTGAATCTAAATCTCTGTCTTAGTCTCTCTCCTCTTTACTACTTCCTGCGCTGAAACTTATCAAGAGCTGGGCAGAACTGTAAAGGAACCTACAACTTGGAGGAATAGGGAAAACGTAGCTGGCATTTTAAGCATCCATCGTGAACAAGGAGAGTCCTTTCAGGTCAGTTCGTAGGCTGCCGTCTACAGGAAGAAAACAATCAGATGGTGTGGAGTCTTCAAGCAGGACAGCATGCAGAGACCCTGCGGCAGGTGCCTGCTTATTCTGCTTAAAGACCACTGTGGCTGGATCAGGCAATGGGAGATGCTGAAGTCAGAGAGGGGGGAAGGCTCTGGGAACTTGGGGACTCTTGTGAGGACTTTGTTTGGGGGACACTTGCTGCTTTTGGACTTTAGTTGGGGAACACTTGCTGCTTTTGGAAGCCCACTGGGGTGGGAAGTACGCAGAGACAAGTGGGGAGGCCTCAGGGAAACTGACAAAGCATAGCAGGGAGGTAGTCTTGGGGCTGCTCAGGTCCCTCCTCCGTGCTGTGGGGTCCTGGTCGCAGCCTGGACCGCCACATCCTACTCCTCTCCTGGAGCCTTCAGCACTTCTGTAAAGACGGGCGGATGTGAGGCTCAGCTGCAGCGAACGGGAAAGGTTTCAAATGGTGCACAGTGGGCCCCAGCGGAAGCAGCAGGACTCCGTGACCTATCAGGATGCTTGCTTTCTTCGTAATTGTTATTGTTCTTCATGACTTTGGTTTTTGTTTTTTGTGACAGGGTTGGTTTCTCTGTGTGAAGCCCTGGCTACGTTCTTGATGGTTTTTTTAATTTTTATTTTTGATTTGTTTTGTGTGCATGTGAGTACATGCGTGCATGCGTGCGTGCATGAGTGTGTGTGTGTGCATGTGTGCGCGCACACGAGTAGATCAGAGGACACTTGATGGGAGTTGTTTTTTCTCTCCTTCAACCATGTGGGGCCTGAGGACGCTGAACTTAAGTCATCAAATTTGGCCACGAGAGCCTTTACCTGTGGAGCCACCTGATTTCGTATTTTGAGACATGGTATTATAACATAGCCAAGGCTGGCCTGGAACTCACTGTGCAGTACAGGCTAGCCTCTACTCATGTTCTGTCTTCTTACCTTAGCTCTGTAATCCCTTCTGCCATGGTGTCAGATGGGTGCAACCACACCCTGACTTATAGTCGTGTGGTGCCCAAACACACACACACACACACACACACACACACACACACACACACACCTGTCCTTAAAGGGCAAATCAGAAGCTTGTTTATACACAAAGCCTATTACCCCCTTGCTGCAGATCACAGGGCAGACCACCTCTCAGGTGGTCTGGCAGCACAGGGAAGGTCTCCCCTGGGTGGCCTTAGGCAATTGTCTCCCTCTGACTGCTTCTCCATCATCTGTGAGGGGAATATTGGGGGTGTCTGCCTCTGGGGACTTGCGAAGACACAATGAATCACCTACGTAAAGTGCTTAGCACAGACCCAGCAAGGGCTCTGAAAGGTGGCGAGGCAGCAGTGAGGTCCCGCCCAAATTCCTCATCCTACTCCCAGGCATCTGCAGAAACTGGTCCTTCCTCTGTCTCTCCGGACCCACCCTTCCCATCCCAGGGCTTCTCCCTTCCTCTCAGTCCACGGCCTAGCCCCGGTTAGCTCATGTGTCAGACATCTGGGTCTGCCCCTGACCTCAGCGCCGGAGCTCGATGGGGGAGATGAGTGTTCCACAAGTAACATTTGTGGTATAATTGCAAACTGCCACGGGCACCCTGAAAACGAGCTCAGGGTGTCATGAGAGAGTATGGGAAGTAATGGTCAGGTAGGACGTGGTCAAGGCAGCTGTGACCCAGAGGATGAGGAGGGAACATTCCAGCAGAGGGCAGCAAACCCCGCCCATCCCAGGAAAGAGAGGGGCCTGCGAGTCTCCTCGGGATCAGCTGACGTTCCTCTGGTACCCTCAGGGCTACTCTGTAAACAAACCGGGTGAGAAGATGTCATAAGAAATGAACAGTGGCTCAGTAAATAAGGGGGCTGCCTGCCAAGCCTGAGTCCAATCCCAGGGCCCCCGAGTGGCAGAACCATCTCTGGCCAAGCTGTCCTCTGATTTCTTCCACACACTGGTCACGGCACCAGCGTACCTCCACACACAGATACATAAACGCATAAACACATAAATAAAGACGTGGAATTTGAAAAATACCCAATGCAAGCTTTTTTTTTTTTTTTTTTTTTTTTTTTTTTTTTTTTTTTTTGAGACAGGGTTTCTCTGTGGCTTTGGAGCCTGTTCTGGAACCATCTCTGTAGACCAGGCTGGTCTCGAACTCACAGAGATTCTCCTGCCTCTGCCTCCCAAGCGCTGGGATTAAAGGTGTGTGCCACCATCGCCCGGCCCAATGCAAGCTTTTACTTGGTAAAAGAATGGTGGTGCCCTTGAATACTGCCTTTGGAAAGCAGGCAATGAAGGACGCCTCCCAGAAGGATGGGTACCTCTCTGGGATTCCAGCACAGTGTCACCAAGTGTTTGACCTGGTTCTAGTTACCAACATGCAGCCCACAGATTTCCACAGTATAATTTGTACTTTAAAAAAAAAAACATGTTGATAATGGCACATGCCTGCGTTCCAGCAATCCGCAGTAGAAGCAGGATGATGAAGAGTTTCTGTTGTTTTGTTGTCGTTACTTTGATCCTTGTTGATTTGAGACAAGGATGAATTATATAGACCCAGTTGGCCTTGGGGTCCTCTTGCTCCCCAACCCTCTACTCCCCCCCCCTCCACCCCATTACCCACCCTTATCCCCTGCCTCCTGAGTGCTGGGATGGACATGCACCACTGCATATGGTAAGAATTGTTTGAGACCAATCTGGTCTAAATGGGGGAAAGCGTATTATAATAATAGTAATAGTAATAATAGCAATAATAATCCAGGTGGTGGCGGCGCACACCTTTAATCTCAGCACTCGGGAGGCAGAGACAGGTGCATCTCTGTGAGTTCGAGGCCAGCATGGTCTATAGAGCAAGCTCTAGGACAGCCAGGGCTACACAAAGCAACCCTGTCTTGAAGAAAACAAAATAATAAAATAAAATAGTTATTATAATAAAATGATAATAGAAAGAAGAAGCAAGATGTGTCAGCACCTGAGGGAGAGTGCAGCCAAGCCTGAGGACCTGAGTTCAATTCTGAGGCCTACATGGTGGACAGGGAAAACAGACTCCCACAAGTTGTTCTCTGCTGTGGCGTGTGCATGCCCACACACGTACACACGCAAAACAAATAAATAATGTTTTCTTAAAGGGTTGTTCTGAGGCTAGATGGACAAGTGTGTGCTCAAGCAAGTTCAAGACGATAAGGAGAGAATCTGAGTGATGAAATTGCAATCTCTTTCCTTTCTTTTCCTTTTCTTTCTTTTTTTTTTTTTTTTGGCTAAAACATTTTCAGAATATTTCAGATGTTATTATGAAATGATAATAATTCCTTTAAAAAAAAATAAGACAAGGTCTCCCTGGCTGGTCTGGAACTCACTCTGTAGACCAGGCAGACTTCAAACTCACAGAGATCCGCCCGCCCCAGCCTCTTGAGAACTGGGATTAAAGGCGTGCGCTGACTCTACAAAATCAGATGGGGAAACAGCAGCACATTAGAAACCTTTGGGATGTTGCCTTTGTTGTGCAGAGGGAGGCTCCTAGGTGCCTTGGAGTGTCTTTCTTGTGTTTTAAGGGGGTGTTCGGTGTTGGCAGGCACTCTGTGACTAAACTGCAGCCTGGCTTGGGCTTTCCGTGGTCTAACATCACCCCAGCAAAGCCTAGTTCCCCAGGGCAAGCCAAGCCCCCTGTCTTAGTCATGGTCCAGTGGGAGGACGGGGGAACTGGAAACAGACTGCAGCCTTAGACTGTAGACACACCCCCACCCCCACCCCCGCGAGCGTGCTTGACACTGGAGGAAGAAACCCAACAGGCGGCTTCCCGGATGCTACAGCTCTCCTAGTGCTCTGGCTGGATCTGGGGAGCGGCAGGGAGACCACGGAAAGTGCAAGGTAGCATCCTGTGTGCAGCCCAGTAGTGCCCAGATGCAGGCCTATTGCTTCCGGTGAAGGATCCCCAGTGTGCCCTCGCCCTAAGGAATCTCTGTGCACCCAACAGGGGTAACACAGCATCTGGGCTGGGTTGTGAGACAGACCGGCATGAGGAAGCTTTGCTCAGCCCCTATGATTGGCACTTGCTGGCTGCTTTTGTTACCCCTCTGTGCCCGAGCGGTTCCTGAACCCTGGACCTTCTGTGTCTCTACCCACATCACTGAAGAGGCTCTTCTACCTGTCCAAGAACCTCCCTGATGAGCATCCATCTTCCGCTTCCCTGAGAAACCCTGCCACTTGTCCAGTCTTTGCCCAGTCTGCTCGCTGCTTTACCCTCCCACCAAACAGGAGAGGGTTTGCAGCTCCAAGGCTGTTTCGTCCCCTACACTAACTGCCCGTGTGTTTTCCAACTGCTCAAGCCTCCATGAGACTCCTCCATACCTAGGGATAATAACAGAACTTTTACCTAATTGGGCGGTCGGAGGATTCGGTGAGCTCATGCCTGGAAAGCTCCCAGCATGTCTTTATTGCACAACGGATACAAGCTTCCATTGTTTCTTCCTGGGTACCACACACCCCACCAGCGGTTGCTTCCCTTCCCAGCTACCTTTCCCAGCGCTGAGACAAACACTACATGTTGTTAGACAAGTGTGGCTCGCCTCCGGGAACTGCCCTCTTCAAGCCAATCAGCCTGGAGTCTCCAGCACTTTCCATCCTGTATGGCGAATTCCCACTTCCTTCCACCCAACAAGAGACAATGCAAGCCCCCTCCCCACCCGCCAACCTTGCCTTCCCTCTCCAGGGAGCACAGTCAACCATGATGAGAAAGGACAGCGTGTTCATGTTTATTCACAAAGCTCAAAGCAGCCCCCGCTAAGGACACCCAGGAAGCTCTTCCCCACCCCCAGCTCCTCCAGGCCATTTCAGCTGATGTGACAACATGAACATTCTGTGTTGCCTGGGCATCAGTTTAGGGCATGATGGCGGCGATACTCTGGAAGAGAAAAGAGCGGGGTCAGATACAGGTACATGGCCATAGGGTCCTGAGATCTGGGCTCCTAGTCTACCCTGGAAAAATGACAGGGAGACAGCTGTTTCTCTTGGAATAGTGGGCTGCCAGTCCCAGGGAGATGGGATGAGGGAAGTCACTCTACACAAGAAGCCCTGTGTGTTTCACCTCAGAGGATCTTCTGCCACTCCAAGGTAGGGCTGTCACACACCCTGGGTCCTGGGCCCTAAGCTCAGGAAGCAGATAATAGCAGTATCTGTTCAGTCATGAAGACCAGAGTGTGGATCCCAGCACCCACATCAGGCAGCTCACAAACACCTGTAACTCTAAGGGATTCAATGCACAGTGTACACCCACACACACATAAAGACACACAGAAGGATCCAACACACAAGAGTACACACACACACAAAGGGATCCAACACACCATGTATTTACACACACAGACACACAGAGGGATCCAACACACAAGAGTACACACACACACACAAAGGGATCCAACACACCGTGTATATACACACACGCACACAGAGACACACAGATACACAGAGGGACCCAACACAGAGTACACACACACAGGAATCCAACACACAGTGTATACACACACACACACACACACACACACACACACACACACACACACACACACAATTTCAAATGTTTTTTTTAAAAAGACAAAGCAAGACTGTGGACCTAGAATAAGGACCAGAATTCCACAGGGACCTTTATACTCTCAGCCTGGAAGGGAGCTTCCTGCCAAGACAAATTACCACCACTCAGCTCACCCACGCAAAGCAGCAGGACAGGGTAACAGAGGCATTCACAAGAAGGCCAGTGAGGAGAGGCAGCTAGTCACTGGGAATGGGAGGAGAGATGATGGGGAACCCAGATGGGCACTTGAGGGATGGTTTCAGCATCCCCACCCTGGATCCCAGATGCCCCAGGGCCCTAGAGGTGATTTCTGTCAGCTTATGTTTGTTCGTTGGTACTGGAAAGTACCCAAAAGCTGCAAGTGAGTGACGAAAGGCCAGCGCAGAGCTAGGAGAACAGGTTGTATGGTCTCAACAGAGGCTGAGTCTGCCCAAAGGAACGCTGACCGCAAGAAGACTACAGGAAGGGAATTCAAGGTTGAAGGATGGATAATGGGGATTATAGAGGCACTCACCCTCCACAGAGCTGGGAAGTTGATAAATGGCTTGTTGACCGAGGCCTGGAATTCAAGGACAAAGCCGGTCACTAACCTTCAATCAACCACTGTACTTAGGAGAACCCCCAGCAGCCTCCACTCCCCACTCCCGGCTCCAAACCCATGTTACACCCAGAAACTCACCCCAGATGCTAATGTAGTGGTTGCGGCCCCTCCGTGTTGGCCTGCGTGCCCGCCTTGATGAGCGCCCTAAAGACAAAGCCCAGATCGTCACTACCATACCTTGACCTGCGAAGGTCTCCCTCATTCCCTCCTCCCCACCCGAGAACCTGCTCCCCCCTAAGATGACTGGGTCTGGGGTGGGAGCCCAGGCTCCTCACTCAACTGTCCTGAAGGACAGCCCAGAGTCCCAGCTGCTGACCCCATGGAAGAGGTGGAGAGAGAGGACTCCGGGAAGGATGCCTGCCTCCTTCTGACTCGCCTCACCCAAGCTCTCCTTAAAGTCAGCATTAGGGAAACGTTTCCATTTTGGAGGAGGAGGACTCAGAGGACCCACACAAATGCCAGAGCCACCATTCACCCTCAGCCCTGGTTTCTAAATGCTTTTCCAGTCTAGCCTCAAGCCTAACACAATTCATGCCCACTCTCGGCCACCACGTGTGGCTCAACATGTCCTCCCCAATTGCACTCCACCCGCAACCACTCTTGCCCTTCCCCCAGCCTCTATTTCAGTCTCTCACTCAGGGTCTGGGTCTTCACCCGGGACTCTCTCTAGTCCCCTCCTCCACACTCCAGCCTTCTGTGCCTCCCTCCAAGCAGCAGAGGTGACTCTGGGCTCTGAGACCTAGACTCATCCTCAAGGTGGCGTCCCAGCTTGCTCATCTCTACTACTGCTCACGGGGTGTGGAGAACTGGGAACTGGGCCACGCAAAAGTCAGCCTAACACTGCTTCCCAGTCCTCCTTGGTGCCTGTTCTGTGGCTGTTTGCCTAGCCTCCAGCATCTGTTCCCTCTAGAAATACAGGTAAGACAGTCCCCGAGAAGCGCCCCCCCCAGGCCCCGCCACATAATCAGGAAGCAAAGGAAGAAAGAGAGCTGCCTTTCCTCCACTGGGCACTTGTCATGTGACCTTGGTGAGTCCCCTTAGCCTCTCTGAGCCTTAATTTCTTATCTGAATGTCATAGAGTCAGCACTCTCATCCTGACCACCTCAGAGACTTGTCACAAGGACGGAACACAACAGAGCCTGCAGCCAAAGCACCTCCTCGTGCTGCGGGGTTTCTCAGCCTCTGTCTGTTTGTACAGTGTCTCTGCTAAGGACTATTTCCTGGTTCCAGGAGTGGGGACAGGTTAGGGTCCCTCATCTAGGAGGACAGTTCCCCAACAACGGGACTGGATCCCTTCCACCTTCTCTAACCAGCTGGCCACCAGCTCTGCAGCAATGGAGATGGAGGGGAGGGAACGCAGTGTTATGGCTTCCCAAGAGTTTAGTCTCTTCCCTCCCACAACCCCCATCCCCCCAGTTTCCCCATTTCTGTTCACCTACATTCAGCAGCTGGTTGGCCTCCTTGCTGGCTTGGTTGACCCCATTATGAACATCTTGCTGCCACCTGTCCATTTCCTTCCCGGCCTGGCCAGCAGCATGGTGGACACCTTGGCCAAGCTTCTCCGCTTCCTTTTCGGCCTGGCCAGCAGCATAGTTGACCGCTTGGCCAACTTTCTCTGCCTCCTTCTCGGCCTGGTTGACCCCAGTGTGGACCCCTTGGCCAACTTTCTCTGCCTCCTTCCTGGCCTGGTTGACCCCAGAGTTGACCCCTTGACCTACTTTCTCTGCCTCCTTCTCGGCCTGGTTGACCCCAGTCTGGACCCCTTGGACCACCTTTTCCGTCTCCTTCCCAGCCTGGTCAATGGTATGGTGGACACCCTGGCCAAAATGCTCCATCTCCTTCCCAGCCTGGTTGACTCCATCTTGCCAAGGCTGCCCTGCAGCATAATAACCATGGCCATGACCATGGGCAAACTGCTGTGCCTCCATTGCAGCATGGCTAAGTCCCTGATTGGCCCCTTGCACCACTTTCCCTCCTTCCTTTCCAGCCTGACCAAAAGCATGGTGGACTCCCTGACCCAATTTCTCTGCCCCCTTCTCAGCCTGACCAAAAGCGTTGTGAACCCCTTGACCAAACTTCTCTACTTCCTTCGAAGGCTGACCAAATGCATGGTGACCATCCTGACCAAATTTTTCTGCTTGTCTCCCAGGCTGACCAAAGGCATTGTGGGCCCCTTGACCTAATTTCTCTGTCTGCTTCCCACCCTGACCAAGAGCATGGTGGGCCCCTTGACCTAATTTCTCTGTCTGCTTCCCACCCTGACCAAGAGCATGGTGGACCCCTTGACCAAACTTCTCTACCTCCTTCTCACCCTGACCAAGAGCATGGTGGACCCCTTGACCAAACTTCTCTACCTCCTTCTCACCCTGACCAAGAGCATGGTGGACCCCTTGACCTAATTTCTCTGTCTGTTTCCCACCCTGACCAAGAGCATGGTGAGCCCCTTGACCTAATTTCTCTGTCTGCTTCCCACCCTGACCAAGAGCATGGTGAGCCCCTTGTCCCAACCTCCCAGCCTCATTTCCAGCCTGCCCCCAACCATGGTGGGCCCCCTGAGCAAACCTCCCTGCTTCATTGCCCGCCTGGTTGACCCCGTGATGGACCCCATGATGGATGATTTTGTCTGTCTCCTTCCCAACCTGTCCAGCGGCGTGGTTGACCCCATGGGTTAACTTCTCTGCTTCCTTTTCTGCATGTCCGACGCCATTGTTGATGCCATGGGCTACCTTGTCCAAGCCACGGTCCAAATCCTTGCCAGCCTGGCTCCCCATGTTGCTAAGTCCATTAATAACTTTTTCCACTTCCCTTCCAGCTTGAGTGATTCCATTATTGATGCCTTCAAGGGCCTTGCCCACCTCTCTCTCTGCGTTGCTCAGCCCTCGGCTGAACCCTTCTATGACCTTCTCAAGGGGATCATCGTGGGCTGCCCATGCTGTCAGAGCCCCCAGGAGCAGTAGGAGGCAGCAGGACCTGAGCGAATTGGCGAGATGCATGCTGTTGGAAAGGCGGGGAGGGTGCAGAGAGGAGCCGGAGAAGTGAGGCCGCTATTTATCCTTTGCCTCCCTCCCTATTCTCCACCCCTCGTGACTCAATTGCCCCTGTGAGGCTGTGACTTAGTTCCCAGTCAGGGAGGTGTTTCCCAAAGACAGTTGCTGTTGAGCAATGAGAAGGACGAAGAGGAAAACAGGGTGAGTCATAGAGAGAGAAGACTCTAGCTAGCATCTCTGCTCCTTGACCTGCTCAGGCCCTCCACCCCAGTATAGGGTTCTGCCCTGCTCAACCCCCTGTTTTCCTTCCTCTTCCACCAGTCATCCTCCTTGCTCCCTAGTCCACCTTCAGGAACCCACCAAACCACCCTGTCAGCTCTCTTAGAGACCTAAACATACAGCTTGCCCAGCTGGATAATTCTGGAAACATGGAAAGCAGTCAGGGAGGAAGAGAGAACCCCAGGAACTGAGAGAGTTACCCGATTTTGTTCTTGGGGTCTCTCTGCCACCCCCCTCTCTCTGCTCCAGTTACATGGCCCTTCTCCCTGCTCCTCCCATAGCCCTCTCATTACTGCCTGACGTATTTGCCTGTGCCTGAAAGTTGGAGTGCCACCTTAATGGCTCCACACATTCCGCACCTGGCTCAAATGGCCAGCATCACAGAAGGGCCTGCCTGACCACCCCCAGGCACAGTGTGGTATTGCAGGTATGACTGTTATGCCAGGTGACGTCATCCTTCTATTTCCATAGTAGTTATCACAATCTTAAATTGGATTTAGTTTTTAGTAGTGTCTCACCTGCCAGATTGTACACTTCCAGCAAACAGGCCCTTTGTGCTGGATACTTCTACAGCCCCAACTTAGGGGACAATAACTGGGGCTCAGTAAGTATTCATAGATGGATGGGTTAGAAACCAAAGGATAGTCCAAGCCTGAGCCCATCTCACAGGGTGCTGGAGAGAAGGGGTACCTGGGTCCCCAAAACTGCATGGGGTCTCTTGGTGATGGTTGCAAATTTTGGAACCAGGATCACATGTTCATGACAGAATCCAGGCCTCTTTCCTCCCAGCCCGTGGGCAAGGGCAGGGGGCTGATCGTCATACGCTGGGAGAGGACGCAGTGGTACCTGAAAAGCCGGTTGAAGCAACCCTGGGGAGAGGCTCAAAGACCTGTGCAACAGCAACTGTCTCAAACATTCGGGCTGGGGGCCAGGACCTTTTCCTTCCTCCCTTTGGGCATCCAATGCCTGGACCTGAAGCCCCAAGCATTGCTCTATAGGTTCAGATTACTGGGGGAAGCAGCTGGGAGCCTCGGCTGGGGTCAAAGCCCAGCATTAGAAGGAAGGGCAGGTAGTGGCTGGTGGATCATCCACGGTGTGCCTACCCTAGATTAGAGGGAGGCAAACAAGAGCCAGCGGGTGGGGAACAGTGGGGCGAAGATATTTAGGTTTTAATGCCAACAGTGAGGCTGAACGAAGGGGTAATAGTGGGACGGTCAGGCACGGAGGAATGCAGAGGGTGTGTGCCCGTGGAGGTGGTAGAGTTATGTGTGTGGGTGCCAGGTGTGGCTGAGAATCAGCGCGTGTTTTTCAACTTCAAACCAGGGCATGAGGTGGTCCCCTTAAAGAAACAGTAGCCACACCCAGAACCTACCATCCCCAGGACCAGGGACCCTGGAGCCTCTGCCTTCCCTAGCTCTGACAGCAAAGGGTGGCTAATTGGGCCCCTCTACAGAGTGGATCTGTTTCCCAGTTTCACACTCCAATGACAAAGGCAGATCTCTAGGCAATTTGGGGCGTGGCACTCAGCCAGGAGCATCTCTAAATGATGGAGAATCAAAGGCCAAGCAAAGAAGTGACAGGATAGATAGGTTGGCCCTTCCCCTTTTGACAAGGTATCCTATCTTTTCTACGTTCTGTTGTGGTAGGGTCTCATGTAGCCCAGAACCAGAGGCCTTGAATTCTTGATCCTTCTGAGGCCACGGCCGGGCACTGGGGTTGCAGGTACACACCCCATGTGATACTTTCTTTTCCATCCTTCTCTCCCTCCATCAGCCCTTCTCAGCTTTCTGTCCCCATTTGCCACCGGATTCAGGAATTCTCATCTTTCTCCTTAACTGCTGCCATCAGCTTCTGGCCACCTGGTTATGCTGGTTCTTTGACGCCAGTGGAAGAAGTTCGGGGTTTGGAACGTCACACTTCAGTATATGTTCACACAGGGTATTTGCCCGTCCAAGGATATCACAGTGAGTGCCTTACCCGGACCCCCCTGCAGAGGAACTGCCTGGGGCTCCCCAGCTCAGGCCAGGGTCTGCCACAGTTAGAAAAGGAGATGGACACAGGGCATTGATCTGAAGCAGCTGCTGGGAGAACATCTCAAGACTCTTGACATCAGATCCTGGGGAGCTGTGTGTCATTTTTGTTTTGTTTAGGCTAGGGCCTCATACTGTAGTCCAGGCTGACCTCGAACGCATGGCAATCTTCCTGCCTCAGCATCCCAAGTACTAGGACTACAGGCAAGAACCACCATGCCTACATCTGGCACAGGGCGGGATGTCTTGATGTGGCTCTGCCTTTGGTTTTATGAGACAGGATCTCTGTATGTAGCTCAGGCTTGTGCAGAACTCCATCTGCCTGCCTTAGCCTCCCAGGGTCTGAGAGGGCAGGGTATGTCACCGTACCAAGGAAAACTTCCTCGCACATGCTAGGCAAGTGTCTGCAAGGTTACCTATACCCCCAAACAATTTTACGTTTTATTTTACTCATTTTGTTTACTTTTTGAGACAGGATCTCACTTTGAAGGCCTGGAACTCAACTCTGTAGACCAGACTGGCCATGATTCTATGATCCTCCTGCCTCGGCTGCAATTACAGATTCACGCTTGTCTCCCTCCTGGTTATTTTTAGTTTATTTCTCTAGCGCCATCCAAGCAGGAGATAGCCTTGCTGACTCTTGTCCCATGGCTGTTTCTTGATGTAATGTAGATCTGGCTTTGGTTTGGGGGGACCTTGTGTGTAACCCATGGAAAGCGTATATGGGGATTTGAGGAAGGAAGAGGTTATGTCATTGTATGAGTTTTGGGCCTTCCATCCTTCTCTCTAGGACAATGACTCCTCCCTGTACAAAACCCCACACCCACCTTGGTCACCGCTGCGTGTCAACTGGCCCTGCAGGGGAAGGAGCCTGCCAGTGAGTCACTAAAATGCAAGCAAGGCCTGGGGCTTGAGGGGAAGTCTTCACCTTGCTTTTGCCTGGACACTTCCTGAAAGCTGCTCTGTAAACTGGGCATAGTGGCATGTGGCTGTAATCCTAGCACCCAGCAGGCCGAGGCAGGAGGATCACAGCAACTCTGAGGACCTCTTCAACCACATCATGGGATCTTGTCTCAAGAAATGAAGAAGAGGGAGTTTGAAGAGGAGGCTCAGTGGCTAAGAGCACTGACTACTCTTGCAGAGGACCTGAGTTCGGTTCCCAGCACCCACAGGGTGGCTGACATTCATCTGTAACTCCAGGTCTAGGGGAATCGGCATCGTCTTCTGGCTTCCAAAGACACTAGGAATGCAAACAGCACATTGACATACATGCAGGATAAAATAAACGCCGTCTTAAAAGAAGAAGGCCCAGTTTGTGCCAGGTGCTGCCCCAGATGCTGAGGGACACCTGTGGATGCAGCACCTCCAGAATACACAGCCAGCAGGGATGACAGGGAAGAGGGCATCACTAGGTGCTAGATACAGGAAAACTACAAGGCAAACAATGGGCTGCAGCGGTACACTGCTTAGCGATTGCTTCAGGACTGGGAACCAGAAGATACACGAGAGCTGAGGGTTGGCTTGCTGGTAGCGGGTGATTGTTGCGAAGCCTGAGGAGCTGAGTTCAATTCCTGGAGTCCACAGTTGGAAGAAGAGGACCAACTCCCACAAGATGTCCTCTGACCTCCACATAGAGATGTGGGGTGAGAAGAAATCCAATAACCTGAGGGGCTGGGGGGTTCAACGGAAGGAAACTTCTTAGCATCCCCAAGGCCTGGGGTTGACTCCAGCAAGGAAGGGAAAAGAAAAGAAACTGAGAAACGGGAGACCTGACATGTTCACCGCTCACACACAGAAACACCTATCCACCCGTGTTTCCTAAATATTGCATGGATGGGTTTGGTTGTTTTAATATTTTATTTTATTTTTTATTTTACATGTATGGGTGCTTTGTCTGAATGTTTGTCTGTGTGTGCCTGGGGCCTGTGTGAGGACAGAAGAGGGCATCAGATCCTCTGGGACTAGAGTTATAGAAGATTGTGAGCTGCCATGTTGGTGCTGGGAATCAAACCCACATCCTTTAGAAGAGCAGTAAGCACTCTTACCCACTGAGCCATCTCTCCAGTCCCGTTTGTTTGTTTATTTGTTTGTTTTGATACAGGGTCTCACTATGTAGTCCAGGCTAGCCTCAAACTTACAGAAATCCTCCTGCATCAGCCTCCCAAGTGCTAAGACTGTTGACATGGTATTTGGCAAACTGAGTGTCTTCACTATACCTGCGTCCACACCTCCTCCAGGTTCCATCTCTTCCACATCACTGATGGGCAGGAGTCATTGCAGTCTAAGGTATGTGTAGGCTGGAGTATGGGTCCACAGCAGAGCACACGCTTAGCCTATGCGAGAACCTGGATTCAATCTCCAGCACCCCACTACTAACGGGAGCCTTAAAGTAGGTTCAATTAAAGACACCATGATAAGCAAAGGGGGGGATAAAAATCTGAGGGTAGAGAAGTCTTCTCACAACAGAACCCAGCTGTTCATGTTTCTTTATTCTTCTCCCTTCAGTCCATCATTCTCGTTGTTCCCTCTTGTTCCCCCTTTTTCTCCCTTGTTCTCTCTTGTTCTACCCTTTACAAATGCTTCTAGTAATGCATACCCTTAAAACCAGCAATTCCCCAGTCCTATCAGGTTCCAGGGCCAGAATAATTTTGTACCATAAAAAAAAATCAGATAAGTAAGTAAATGCTCAACATCCTTAGTCATCAGAGAAATGCAAGTCAAAGCAACTCCGAGATTCCATCTTACATGTCTAAGAATGGCCAAGATCAAAAACACTGATGACAACTTATGCTGAATAGGTTGTAGGGAAAAGGGAACACTTCTGCATTGCTGTTGGGAATGCAAGCTGGTACAACCCCTCTGGATGTCAGTGTGGTGATTTCTCAGAAAATTAGGGAACAACCTTCCTCAAGACCCAGAAATACCACTTTGGGGTATATATCCAAAGGATGCTCAATCGTGCCACAAGGACATGTGTTCAACTATGTTTATAGCAGCATTGTTTGTCATAGCCAGAACCTGGAAACAACCTAAATGCCCTTTGACCAAAGAATGGATAAGGAAAATGTGATACATTTACACCGTGGAATACTACACAGCAGTTAAAAAAATTAACATCTTGAATTTTGCAGGCAAATGGATGGAGCTAGAAAACATCATGTTGAGTGAGGTAACCCAGACTCAGAAAGACAATTATCATATGTACTCACTCATAAGTGTTTTTTAAATATAAAACAAAGAAAACCAGCCTACAATTCACAATCCCAGGAAATCTAGACAACAATGAGGACTCTAAGAGAGACATACATAGATCTAATCTACATGGGAATTAGAAAAAAAAAAGATCTCCTGAGTAAATTGGGAGCATGGGGACCTTGGGAGAGAGTTGAGGGGGAGAGGAGAGGCAGGGAGGGGAGCAGAGAAAAATGTAGAGCTTGATAAAAATCAAAAAAAAAAACAGAGAAAGGTTTTCACACACACACACACACACACACACACACACACGCACACCACAGACCCTGATTGTCTGCACGAAGATAGGAGTGGCTAGTGCACGTCCAGTGAACTCCTAGTGGAGAAAGCTGGTTAAGAAAAGAAGTAAATCCTCAGGGGATTCTGGAGGGAAGGTTAGTGCACATGCTACGTTCTCGGGTGGTTTGTAAAGAGCTACAAGGTTTATTCAGTAAAATTATGAATAGGGCACAGATTGTTTAAATCATCATGCCACTTCTTTTCTCACAGCATGCATGGGATCAGGTAACCAAGCAACCTACGTAAACATTCAGAGAGTAGCCAGGGCTCTTGATCTAATTAGCACATTCGCCAGAGGCTGCAGTTTCTATGGTCCTAGGTCTGGCGTTAGACTTACTGCTCTAAGCCAAGAAGAGACCCAGGCCTCTAAATTGTCAGTTCTGGGCTATGCTGTTATCAGCCGTACTGGTCGAGGGGTAAAACCAGAGCAATGGCTGGGATAGGAAGTAATTCTGCGTCCTTGGAGATGTGTGGACGTCTTAGATGGGGCGCTCTATGCCTGGACCCTAAGCGCTGGCCAAGTTTCTGCTGAGAAAGATGACTGCAGGAAGGCAGATCTCTGCAGTGCCTAGGAGAGAGGATCAGAGGCCTGGCAGTGGGAACTATTTTTACATGTAGCTAGGGGGAAGCAGTTCTGAACCGTGGGAATTAATTCCCAAATATGTAACAGAAAGGGAGTTAGCTACAGTGAACGTCTACGTCAAAGGACAGTCACTCATTCACAAAGCAATGACGCCAAAAAAAACCTTGTCATTTGGTTTAAAAACCTTCACCAAAGCCCTTGGCTTTCATAAGTCACTCGTGAAAAGACAGCTGATCAATTACTGTATAATATGGCTTGTAGCACCCTACATCCAGGCAGGAATAAAAACCAAGGTGTGGCCATCAGATAGGTCACACACTTAATATAACAGGTAGCTTCTTAGGCACGTAAGGTAAGTTCTCTGTCACTGAACCTCAACCTCAAGCCAAAATTTGTTTAAAAGTTGTTATATTTTAATCTATTTTATTAATGTTTATAATTTATGGATATAATTTATATGTTCATATTTACAAATATATTTCTAATTTTATTTATTTATATATGAGTGTAAATCCGTGCCCATATGAGAGCAGGTACCTGTAGAGACCGGAAGAATGTGTCAGCTACCCTAGAGCTAGGGTTTTATGGGGTTGTGAGCCATTGGGGGGGGTGTTTCTGCTTGAGCAAAGGCCCTTAGCCACTGAGTCACCTTCTCAGGTCCACCGGCCAGAATCAGAACCCTGGAAGAAAAAAAACCCTGTGACCAATGTGGGTGCAATATTTGCATCTTGTTGTAGCCTAAAACTGAACCCATAATAGTAACAGGGAATTTTTATTTAAGGCTTTAAATATATATATATATAAGTTGTAAATTATAAAGTTTAAAATAAAAGTTAAACACTTCCTTCCCTTAATAAAAAAAAACCTGCAAGGCAAAGGTGTTTTATTTATGGAGTGAATAACCTCTAAGTTAAACATGGGGTTGAAGACAGTTCAGCTGGATAGGACACTTGCTACCAGGCGTGATGGGTTCAGAATTCAATCGCCAAGACCCATGCAGAAAGAGAGGGCTTGCTCCCAAGTATCATCATCTGGCCACCACTCGTGTGCACATGCACACACATCATAAATGAATGGGATTTGAGTCACACACACTTGTCGTCAATGGGACCTAGAGAATGAGACAAAGCCCCGCCTACCCTTTCAGAGTGTGTAGGTGACCTTGTGGAGGAAGGGTCTCCACTCCTTCTGCAGAGCTGTGTCATTCAGGCTAGCAGGCCCACAAGCTTCTAGGACAAGAGATTCATGTTGCCACATCTGGCTGCGTGTGTGTGTCTGCCTGTCTGTCTGTGTCTGTGTGTCTGTGTCTCGTGTGTGTCTGTGTATCTGTGTCTGTGTGTGTCTGAGTGTGTGTCTCTGTGTCTGTGTAGGTATCTGTGTGTATCTGTGTGTGTGTGTCTGTGTAGGTATCTGTGTGTATCTGTGTGTGTGCTTGTGTCTGTGTGTATACACTATTTTTTTAAGAATTTCCTGTGTGCATAAAGTGTGTTTTGATCATGTTCATCCATGCCCCCCTCCTGACTCCTCACAGATCCTCTCCACCTCCCACCCTTTACCAACTTCATGGACATTTTTTAAAGTTATTTTTATTTTATATATACAAGTGTTGCAGAATATTTCTTTACATTGTGTTTGGTTTAATAAAAAGCTAAATGGCCAATAGCTAGGCAGGATGTATAGCAGGGACTTCTGGACAGAGTGCACTCTGAGGAGGAGGCTGGCGGGGTCTTGAGCCAGATACAGGATAACCAGGATGGGAATAATGGAAATGAGGTAATGAGTGCATGGAAGAACATAGATTTATAAATATGGGTTAAAATAAGGTATAGAAGCTAGTTATAAGCAACCCTAAGCTTAGGCCACACTCTTATAATTAACAAGTATCTGCATCATTTTTTGTGAGCTGGTACCCCCCTCAAAATTCCATCTACATAAGTGTATTTTCCCTGCATGTATGTGCACCACATGGGTGTAGTATCTGAAAAGGCCAGAAGAGGGCGGTGGATCCCTCCCTCCGGAACTGGAGTTACAGGTGGTTGTAAACTACCATGTGGGTGCTGGGAACTGAAGCCAAGTCAACTATTAGAGCAGCAAGTGCTCTTAACGGCTGGGCCATCTCTACAAACTCATATCCTATCTATCCACCTATCATCTATCCATCTATCTATCATCTATCATCTATCTATCTATCTATCTATCATCTATCTATCTATCATCTACCTACCAACCCACCTGAGTACCGATCTCTATTTTTAAGCCCACACCCATTTGTTCTGCCAATAGATTCGTGGGTGTGAACTCATTCTGCAGTGTTTGGCTTAGGATCCTAAGGAAAACTGACTTTACTGTTCCCTGTCCATAGCTCCTGAGCCAGCTGGAGCTCATGAGCCCCTCCCCCATCCATGAGAATGTTGACTGCCTTGCTCTTGGCAGGCAACTGTGCCTGCTGTGAGTTCAGAAGCACAGCTGTCCCGTCATGTCGGGGAGATACTGCTTCGCTGCTGTCCTCCCAGATTTCTGGATCTTACAGTATTTCCTTCCTATTCTCCGCCTGGGTGAGAAGAGCCACGCTTAAGCCCCTGGGAACCCACGCAGCCAAGGGGAGACTTGGGAGGGGCTTTCTAGGTCCTTCCTGACTCCTGGAGAGCTAGGGAAACACCTCAGAGATTCAGGACACCATGGAACAGGTGGACCAGGGGAGGGAGGAAGGGGGACAGCAGCCACAAGTACACGAGTGAACCCAGAAGATTCCACTCTGGATGCCAGGGGAGGCCTGGAAATACTCAGTGTGAGATTCCCAAAAGGCCTCTGGTGGGCCAAGATCCCCAGCCTGCACACTACTTCCTCTGTGATGTCACTGAACAGTGTGACATCATCAGAGGCTCTGGAAACAGTAACCAACCCCTGGGGAGCCTCACACCTCAGTACCATCTCAGAGGGGCCCAAGGAAGCCAGGCCATGAGATCTTAGGCCATGTCGAAACGTGACGTCGTCCTCACCAATGTCACTGTTGTCCAGCTACTGAGGCAGCCATGCCCGGGTGAGGAGAGCCTTTAGGGGTGACCCTGGGAAGAGGAGGAAAGTGTGGTGTGGGAGTCAGTACACCTTCACACAGGGTGCTCAGAGTCCCAACACCCTTCTTCCACCAGAATGCTGACTGCTAGGTGCCCTGGAGGAGCAGGCCAGGGGTGGGCCCTTCAGGCATCTTCCAGGCCTCTCTCCTCCAGGAGTCCTTCCCTTCCCTTCCCCACTCCCTCTCATTCCTTCCTCACTCCAGAGCTTCTGCTTGGGATGCAGATGGAGGCTGGGAACCCTGTCCCCAGAACTGCCTGAGCTCTGGGTTCTAACAGTGCAAAGGGGAGAAGCAGAGGCCAAGATGAGGCAGGGAGGCCGGGTGGAGAGGAATGGGTGACCAGTTGTAGCATTTGTGAAAGGGGCTAGGTGGGTGTGCTTTCCCCATTTCACTGATGTCCCTGGTGGCTGGCCACGAAGGGGCTGATGGGCTTGGTCATCAGTGGGCTGCAGAGAGCAAGGGTGCTTGCTGCCCTCCAGGTCTTTCCTGACTCCTGGAAGCACGTGTTCACACCTCACAGACACCAGGTGGGGTCTGGGTGTTCACTGCCCCCCCCATTCTATGGAGGCCAGCAGAGGTCAACAGAGAGCAAGCCACTTCCCAGCCTCCCAGCCAAGGCATGGCACATTCTCCCAGGACCTCAGGACTCTGTGCAGTCTCGCTGCCAGATGCTGGGCAACCCCAGCCAGAGGGTGTGTGCACATGTGTGCTGTTCAGGTACTCAAGCCAGAGGAAGCCAGGGCTTCTGGGAGGGCAACCCCCAGTTCACTCCTGTGTCCTCACTTCCCACAAGTGGGCAGGTGTGTAGGGGACCCTGGCTTCAGGACACAGCAGCAGACAGGTGGACAGCAGGGATTGGCTTGTTCTGTGGCCCCCAGCTTCACTCCCCCTCTGGAGAGTGGGGGGGGGGGGGTGTGGGGGGGGGGGGGGGGGGGGGGGGGGAGCAGCGCTGTGCTCTGAATGGCTTCTGGGTGAGCACACAGTCCCACCCAGAACTCTAAAGGAATAAATCTCTCTACTCTCTCTTGTTTTAGGTTTTACATTTTATCTGGGAGAGGGAGGCATGTGTGAGCCACAGCACAAGTGTGGGGCAGAGGACAACGCGGGAGAGCGCTTCTCTCCCTCCACTTGTGGGGCAGGGGTCCAAGCAGGCCACCAGGCTTGGCAGCAAGCACCTTTTCCCTCTGACCCATCTCACTGGCCCAAACCTCCCCCTCTGTGTGCACGGTGTGCACAGACCTAGAAACTCCAGGATGCAAATATCCTCAAGGTCACCAGGGAGCACAAGGTCACGGCCACCAGGCAGTGTGGAGAGATTCTTGGTCCAGTTGGAAACTCCCGAAGTCCACTGCCAGGCCTTGGGTGTGAGGAGCAGGGAGAGGAAGAGAGACAAGCTGGCCACTGGCCCCTAGCCCCAACCCCTCCTGATGCCTTATTCCCTTGCCTGTAGCAACTCCCACCACCTGGCTCCTAGTTTTGTTCTCTCAGGATGGGTGGGGCAGTGAGAAAAGTCTACTTTTCCAATGCTAACAAAGTGCAGCTAAGAACAGAATTCCCTCCAGGTGTGTTGGAGCAAGTCTGCAATCCTGGCCCCTGGGACCAGGTGTCCAGTGTCGTCCTTGGGCACATAGTCTAAAGACAGCGCGCCGGTTAAGAAGAGAAGACCCTATCTTTAGGAAGAAAGGCTGAGGGAGGAGAAAGAGAGAGTGGAGAGGAGAGAAAAGAAAGAGAGAGAGGAGAAAGAATATTCTTGGAGCTCAGTATTGCTCAACTAAGTCTGATTTTTTTTCTAGAAAGAGGCCTTCCAGAGTGAGTCTTATCTTTAGAATAGGTTGGGGCTCACAGAACTAGATTTGTTATCAGATCAAGCAATGGTCTCAGAAATATTAATATGTAAGAGGGGTGTGTACCAAAGCGGGAGAGCAGTTGTCTAATAGGCAGGGGTCCTGGATTTATCCGAAATAAATCCACTGGAAAGGCGGGGGGAGCCCATAGAGTGGAACACAGCTGTAGCCCCAGCACTGTGGAGGCTGAGGCGGAAGGACCAAGAGTTTGAGTCTAGTCTGGGTTACATAATTAGACCCTGTCTCGGGAAGGAGAAAGGGAAAGGAAGGGACAGGGAGGAATATATATTATAATATGTGTGCAATATTTCATCCTCGTTTCGCAGAATAAGAAACTGAATTCCAGAAAATAGGCCCTCGTGGAACTGCTAAAAACACACACTCTCAGAATGAAGTTTAGGAATGAATCCCTGGCACAAACCTTTTGTTTTGTTTTTGTTTTTGGAGGCAGGATTTCTGTGTAGTCCTGGCTGTCCTGGAACTCAGTCTGTAGACCAGCCTGGCCTTGAACTCACAGAGATTCACCGCCTCTGCCTCTAGAGTGCTGGGATTACAGATGTGCACCACCATACCCGGCTACCTGGCACACATCTTAAACTCAGTTCTCCTGCTTGTTCTGGGGCTAGGTGAATTTGGCAAAGAAACACTAGGCCAGGGAGTTGGCCACTAGGGGCTCTAAGCCAAACTGGGTCTTTGTGGTAAGATAGGTCTTTGTCCTCTTTGAAAGAAAGAGAGAGGAATTGACATTTATTTGTGTGTGCGTGCGTGTGCGCGCATGCATGAGCGCGCAGGCAGCACCAATACTTCCACGTAAGGCATTCTCACACCTTTGTACGTGTGCAGAGGTAGAGATCAGAGGACAATTTGTAGAAGTCCGTTCTCTTTTTCTACCACAAAGGTTCCAGAATTCGCACTCAGGTCACAAGCCTTAGGGGCATCACCTTTACCCATTGAGCCATCTCATCCATCCCCATGTCTTGTATGGAGTGACCCAACTCACCATCTCTCTTCTGGATTCTCTCTGCTCCCCACAGTGATCAGACCTCCTTGTCCTCCTCCTCCTTGTCCTCCTCCTCCTCCTTGTCCTCCTCCTCCTCCTTGTCCTCCTCCTCCACCTCCACCTGAGCCCAAAGTTGAGGAGCCACCGCCACCACCACCATCGCCTCCACCCCGGGTAGAGCCAGTCAAAGAGGTTCCACCTCCCCCTCCACCACCACCCAAAAAGCCATCAAAAGAGCTGACAGTGGGCATCAATGGGTAAGTCGACCTCAGGTCTGAGTCGATGCTGGAGCTGGGCAGCCCCAGAGGCTGATGCTGTGGCTACCTCGGGTCACTGTGGTCTGGGGGCATCATCTGCTCACTGGGCCAGCAAGGGCAAGCCAGATGTCAGAGAACTCCCTTCGAGGAGATAGCACTCAGAACAGACCCGAGGGAGTTCACTAAGACCAGGTAGGGCAGCACTGGCTGGACGCCCGAGGTTTCTAGGAATAAATACAGGAGTGAGGCTGAGTGACAAAAGGCAGCTGGTCGTCTAGCCACTGGGGAAAATCTTCAAGGGAGTGGGGCAAGCGAGTGCTTGGGCATGGAAGGGGCTGCTTTGTATTTCAAGGACAGTCAGGAAATCTGCATAACTGTAAGAACAAATGGGGGCGGGGGGGGGGGAGCAGAGGATCCTCGAAGACCATGGTGAGGAATACAGATCTCATTGAACACAAAGGGGGGGGGGGGGGGGTGAAGCTTCCCAGCCAGTTACAGGAGTGAGAAGAGGGAATATTAGCAAGGCATGGTGGTGGGCCCACAATGCTAGCAACTAGGGAGGCCGAAGTAGGAGTCCTAAATTCCAGGCCAATCTGAGCTAAATATTGTGAGTTCCAGGTTCATCTGGGCTACACACTGAGATCCTGTCTCAAAAATACAGAACAGAAACAATGCAAAAAGGAACTGGAGGCTGGGAGTAGCAGCACATGCCTTTGATCCTGCAGAGGCAAAGGCAGGCAGATCTCTGTGAGCTCTGGGCCAACCAGGGCAACGCGGTGAGACCCAGTCTCAAACAAACAGAAGAATAAAGGCCGTGCAGGGCTGAGGGTAAAGGTATATAAACTGCTGGTTGAGTGCTTGCCTAGCATACACAAAGCCCTGCATACACAACCACAAATAATACAAATAAAAATGAAAATAGAAAAGGGGATAGAGAGAGGAAGAGGAGGGGGGAGGAGGGGAAGGGAAGAGGGGGAGGAGAGCGGAGGGAGTGGGAGAAGGAAAAGCAGGGAAGAAGAGGAATCAGCGGGTTGGGCGGGGCTAGGAAACAGAAGTGCAGGTTAAGCCAAGCAATCTCACCTGGGCTAGAGATGACCCACAGTGGCCCACACAGAAGCGGTCGATTCCCACACCCACACCAAGGACCTAGACTCCTCGAGTGAGCTTCATGCTGTCTCGGTTTTCAGTGGCTGTCATTTGACACCCGATACTGGGCCATTTAAAAGAGATCTCTTACAGTCTGGAGACTGGGGGGACCCCCCCTCGGCATCGGGTGATGTAACTGGTGAGAGCCTCCCTGCTGGTGGGGACTCCTGTAGAGTCCTAAGGCAGTGCACTAATGGCATCGCCAATAGAGTCCCAGCCAGTTTTCGGGTCTCTACTCTCATAAAGCCACCAATGCCACCCCAGGGGCCTCACCTCCTATCTTCATTTAAACTTAATTTTCTAAGTCCCATCTGCTAATACCACAAGAGGATTAGAAATGATCTGTGTTCATATGCGTGTGCATGTGTGCATGTGCATGCATGTACACATGCATAGGTCAGAGGACAACTTGCAGGAGTCAGGTCTCCTCTTCCACTGTGTGGGTTCCGGGGATAGAAATGAGGTTGTCAGGCTTGGCAGCAAGCGCCTTTCCCCTTGAGTCATCTCACCAGCCCCAGGTTTTCATCCTCCTAATACCCCCCCCCCATGGTCTAAAGTTCATCATGAACATTGGTGGGACTCTGACACCATGGCATCCCTGTCACTGTCCCCACACCCATTCCCTTTTTTGCATGTTCCTGCTTGGACAGATTTGGACGTATTGGTCGCCTGGTTCTGCGAGTCTGCATGGAGAAGGGTGTTAAGGTGGTGGCAGTGAACGATCCATTCATTGACCCAGAATACATGGTAAGCAGCAGATGGGGAGAGGGACCGGCAAGAGTGGCGCTTGTGTTGAGGAGGCTCCAAGTTCTGTATGGAAAGCCTTGCAGAACCTTCCCCAAGGTGGGTGGAGACCTGTCTGGGGTTGCTTGCTCCGACACCTAAGATGAGGACCCTACTCTGTCGACTGCAGGTATACATGTTCAAATATGACTCGACGCATGGGAGATACAAAGGAAGTGTGGAGCATAAGAACGGACGGCTAATTGTGGATGACCTTGAGATCCACGTGTACCAGTGGTAAGGAGGGAGCTTCTGTGGCACCACGAGGCTGGGAGGCTGTCATCTCTCTGTGCATGCATTAGAGAGGGGGTCTCAGGAAAGTCTCTGGCTCCCTAGAACAGTTTAGAACAACAGCTAAGAACAGTCCATGGTTCTTTAGTGTTTTGTATCTCACATCTTCGTGTGCTCTCTTGGCTATATGGGTGCCCTGTGCCTCATGTCCTGTTCCCCCTGAGCCATCAGCCACCTCTCTTGAAGGCAATTGAGCCAGTTCTGACTCAGCATTCCCTGAAGTCTTTTGATTCTCCACCAAGCCAGGGTACTCCTCTACCTAATCCCCCATGCTCCTCAGCACCCCAAAATAAGGCTTCAGCTACCAGTGTACTCCATGTACCATGCATTGCTTCCTGCAGTGTCTCTGTGCTTCATCTGCCACACTGGTCATCACCTCCGGCCTGCACCCCTTACACCCAAGCAAGGCTGACTTCATAGTGCCCACCTCACACGGCTTCTACTGATGAAGTCCCACTGTTTGCAAATAGATTCAGAATCTATATATCAGGCAGTAACACTTATAACCCTGGCACTTGGTAGGCTGAGACAGAAGGATTACCACAAGTGCTAGACCAGCCTGGAGCTATGTAATAAAATTCTGTCTCAGGGAAAAACAATGACATCTTAGGTTACTTGCAAAGCCTAAGAAACACAGCCCTCTGTAGCCCTAGACAAGGTCTTCTGGCTCCTCAGGAAGGAAACTCTCAGTTTCCCTTTTAACTTGCTGAAGTTGAGGTGTAACGGGAGCTTGGAGGGGGCTGAGGGAAGGTAGGTACTGGGGTGTCAGGGAGAATAGAAGCTGCTTGCCCTGCAGCTTGAAATCATGACCGCAAGAGCAGTTTCAGCGTGGCAGCTTATCAGCTGCTCCACGTCCTTCTGCGTCTGTCTGGTCATTGGTGAGGCACTCTCCGTCCCTCATCCTCTCCACACAGCACCCCACTCCCACACTGCTGCAGAATGACCTGTGACACCACACTTTCAGTTTTTTGTTTGAATAAGTTTATAAATGGCAAGCCAAAGTAAAATAGGTAAGAGCAAGGAATGGATGGATAGATATATAGCAAGATGTCAAATCAGGTACTCAAAATGTCTGATGGAAATCAGCTGGGGATACCCCAATAAGAGTCAGTTCCCAGGCAGCGCTGGCGACCCTTTTATTAAAAGAACAAACAGCAGCAGAGCGTGATGAGACATCATACAGTCAAGGGCTCACGACATCCGGCAGAGACTGACTGGGGAAGCTGAGCTTTCTCTCACAGCTGAGCTTGTGGGCTTTCCCAGGGTACCACAGATTGAACAATAGGAGACTCCACCCTGGGGACTGTGTTCTTACCCCTGGGCTATTTCACTGTTCTTTCCACACAGGTGGGAGGGCCAGTCCATCCCTGGACAAGGTCTTGAATAACACTCGACATAAACATGCTTGGGTCTCGAGTCAGCTTCTCAGTGAGCCCAGACAGCATATGACAACTTGCTAATATGAAATACAATACGGTTGCCTTCCCCCACCGGGGCAGCCGAGTGCATGAGTCTTCAGGACCGTCCTGCAGGCATGAGGGGCTGTGCCAATGCAAGTGCTGCTTCAGGAATTGCTCAAGTACTCACAACTTGAAAGCCAGAAAATGGGTGCATCAGTTCAAAGATCCCTGGGCCAGAGGGTGAAGGGTGTGGGCTGATGGAGCAGAGGGAGAAAAGAGCCATGTGGCCGGGAGAAGGGGGGAAGTTCATGCATTCATCCTTTCCCACACTGTAGCTGACTGGGGACAGAACCTAGGGCTGGGCAGCCTGTGCTCCCAGCCTACAGCCTGTGCTCCCAGCCTGCCATCACCACTGTCCTGACAGTGGCTTTTTTGAGAAGTGGTCGCAGTGACAGTGGTGGCTAACAGTGCTTCCTACAGTAAAAAGCTGAGACTGGAGGTTCATGAGAGTTTAGTGCACGTGTGCAGAATGACTAAAAAGAGCAAGACTAGGTATGTGGCTCAGTAGAATACTCCCCTCTATGTATTCCCCTGGCACCATTCCTCAGTACCCCAAAATTAAACGAATATGTATTGATTGGTACTGGGGAGACAACTTAGCAGTTAAGATCACGAACTGCCCTTTCAGGGGACCCTAGTTTCAATTCCCAGCACTCCCATAAGTGGCTCACAGCCTCCTGTAATTACAGTGCCAGGGGGCCCAACAAAACTCACTCTCTGTCTCTCTCTCTCTGTCTCTCTCTGTCTCTCTCTCTCTCTCTCTCTCTCTCTCTCTCTCTCTCACACACACACACACACACACACACACACACACACACAGGACTTAAAATAAGTTATTTTAAAATGTTTATATATAGCCAAGGCAGTGGCAGGACATGTCTTTAATCCCAGCACTTGGGAAGCAGAGGCAGGTGGATATCTGTGAGTTCAAGGCCAACCTGGTCTACAGAGCGTGTTCCAGGACAGCCAAGGCTACACAGAGAAACCCTGTCTCCAAAAAAAAAATAAATAATAAAAATGTTTAAATATCCATTGACTTATTAAATTGCTACAGCAGAAGCAGACCCAGCCTTGTGGTATGGAATGATCCAGAAGTAGAGCCAGGAGCAATCATTAGAACAAATCTCCCTGTCACATGATAAATTCCATGAGGGCCAAGCCCACAGATGGAGTCACTGAGCTTGCTTGCTGGACACAAGGATAGTTGTTTGTTGACCAGTTTCAGATGAAAACACTAGTGGGAACATCGGGGAGACACTGGGCATGACGGAGCCCGTGTAACCCCTGCACTTGCAGGCTGAGTCAGGAGGAGCACTGACCTTGCTGAGCAGACTGGGATGTGCAGCAGACACTACCGCCACCCACCAAACACAAACCAAGTGAAAATGTAGACTGATGGGGAGGAACAGACTGCCTTTGGGGGGCGGGGCTTTCTACTGTCAATGATCGGTCACTGCTGGCTATAGGGTCTTCAACTGTAGTCTTCCGGCGAATTGTTGTCTGACGTGGGAGTCTGCCCTTGGGGAGTGATGGCAACAGGCTAACAGGTGAAGCGGTCGGAGGTGGGGCCCAGAAAGGAGAACTGCCAGTTTCACCATCTTGGGAGTTCATGCTCTGAACATGGGATGACAAAAGGCTCTGGTCCCCTTTGGCATTATCAGGATGGCTCCTGAGGGAGTAAAATCCCGAGATGAAGATGTGAAAGTCTGGATCTAGACACTGCAGGTTTAGCAGACAAGGAAGAGTTGACAGGCAGTGGTAGCGCATGCCTTTAGTCCTAGCGCTTGGGAGGCAGAAGCAATCCCTGAGTTCGAGGCCAGCCTAGTCTACAGAGCTAGTTCCAGGACAGCTAGGGCTACATAGAGAAACCCTATCTTGAAACACCTCCCCCCAAAAAAGGGGTGAGTGGTTGGTTTGGGCCTACAAGATGGCACCAATTTGGAACGAGTAGGTATATATAGTTAAGAAACAGGGGTTAGCAGGTCAAGGCACCAAGGCCTCTGGCTTGCCTGACACCCAAGCAAGGAAGCTGACACAGCCTTCTTACCACTCCACAGCAAAGATCCCAAAGACATTCCTTGGAGTTCTGTAGGGAATCCCTATGTGGTGGAGTCTACAGGCGTATACCTGTCCACAGAGGCGGCTTCGGTAAGTGAAAGAGAGTGCCCATGCCTGTCCGGGAAGAGGGGGCAGTGGTGCTTGAAGACTCTAACCCCTGTACTCCATCACTAGGCACACATCTCAGCCGGAGCCCAGCGCGTAGTAGTCACTGCGCCCTCCCCCGATGCGCCCATGTTGGTCATGGGTGTGAATGAGAAGGAGTATAATCCTTGCTCTATGAACGTCGTCAGGTACCTGGGATGACAGCCATCCTTGAGCATGTGGGTGGTACCAGCAGACATGCCAGGCTGTAGCACAGGAAGTGCTCACCTCCCCCCACCCTCTCCCTACCCCAGTCCCACTAGATCTCTGGGGTCTTTTACATCAACTTACCCCCACTTATCCATCCCTAAGTCTCGAGTCCTCATGTTAATCTGACCCTGAGGAATGTTCGACGTGCTTGGGTAGCATTCCCCAGTGGTACTTCCAATGGCTCCTTCATCTTTCCCATGGCATCCCCAGTGAGCCCTCCCTCCCCCACCCTCGCATCTCACAAACCAGACCCGGTTAAGTAAGAGTAAGAGTGGAAGGGAGGTTCTGCCACTCATCCGCACACCATGGCTGTTTCAGCAATGCATCCTGTACCACCAACTGCCTGGCCCCCCTCGCAAAGGTTATTCATGAACGCTTTGGGATCGTGGAAGGACTGATGGTGAGTTGGGGCAGGAAGGACGGTAGGGAAGCCAACACCTTCTTCCCAGGCCTTGCTTAAGGCATGGAGTTAGCATGGAGAGTGGCTTGGGGAAGAAGCCCACCCACAGAGGTGCCTTTTGAAATACTCTTCTTAACAAGGACAGGCCCTGGCCTCCAGACACCCTTCCCACGGTCTGGGGTGGTGGCCCTGTTAGCTTCCATACCTAAGCCACCTCCCAAGTCCTAGATGAGAAAGGAATGAGAGGTTTGGAGCCAGAAAGCTTCATCTTGATCCTCTTGTTCTCCAAGACCACAGTGCATTCCTACACAGCCACTCAGAAGACAGTGGACGGGCCGTCAAAGAAGGACTGGCGAGGTGGACGCGGTGCTCACCAGAACATCATTCCATCCTCCACCGGGGCTGCCAGTGCCGTAGGCAAAGTCATCCCAGAGCTCAAAGGGTATGAGGATACATTGCTGCAACTAGGGTGGGGACAGATCCTAGGAGGCCTCACTGGCCCCACGGCAAGGGGAAAATGCAAGCGGAAGTCCCTGGGCTCTGACTCCCACCCTTTCCGTGAAATTCTCCAGGAAGTTAACGGGAATGGCATTCCGGGTGCCAACCCCAGATGTATCTGTTGTGGACCTGACCTGCCGCCTGGCCCAGCCTACCTCCTACTCGGCTATCAAGGAAGCTGTGAAAGAGGCAGCCAAGGGGCCCTTGGCTGGCATCCTTGCTTACACAGAGGACCAGGTAGGGACTGGGGAAATGGGGAGCCCCACTCACCAAGGAGCTATTCTGCATGGGTCAAGATAAGAACCGCAGGCCAGATGGGCATGGTTATGCACACGTGAGAAGGCGTGTGCCCCTGAGCCTAGCAGATGACACTAAGAAGTCTGCTCCCAGGAAAGGTGTCTGACCCCTGAACAAAAAAATTTTTAAAAGAACTGGTGTCTTTTGTTTGCTAAGCATGTATTAAGCACCTTTGTATGCCAGGCCCTGGGTAGATAGTAAAAGCTCCATGAGGAGTTAGGTCTTAAGTTACTGTTTTCTTGAACAGTATGGTCTATGGGTTATGTGAGTGACTTCTGGTCACCGTGGTAGGAAAAGCAACAGGCTTCTTAAGTGTCATCCGCTAGGCTCAGGGGCACATGCCTTTAACCCTATAGCACTCAGGAGGTAGCGGCATCAGATCTGTGTGAGTTTGAGACCAGCCTGGTCTACATAGAAAGTTCCAGGGCTACAAAAAGACCCAGTATCAAAAAAAAAAAAAAAAAAAAAAAAAAGGAAACTGTCAAGTGCTTCTACCTTGGCAAAGTTCTCTTGCACTGGCTCCTGCAGGTCCACTCTCATACAAGTAGCAAGATATCACTTGAATGGGCCCGATCAAATCAGTCCAATGCCAAAAGTCCTCCTGTGTCCTTAAGGGTTACAACCCTCTGGGTCTGTGTCAATAGCTCCTTCCACTTCAGACGCTACTCATCAGGCCCAGGGCTCATGCCACCCATTGTTCCCTGGAACAGTGTTTGGGCCTTGTGGTCTGTGTCTAAGGTATATATACATATGCCTTGTGTATATGTGTGTGGATGCATGGAGAAACATGTGCAGGTCCACAAGTAGTATGATATGTGTGGAGGCATGAGGCTGACATGTCTTCCTCCATTGCACTCCACTTATTTACTGAGGCAAGCTGTGACGGTAGCTTGTCCATTTCAGCTAGTCTAGCTAGCCATCTGGCCCCAGGGATCTCCAGTCTGGATCTGGAATGCTGGGATTACAGGTGTTCACCACCTGCCCAGCCTTTGGGGATCCAAACTCAGATGCTCACGCTTATGTGACAAGCACTTTTACCGACTGAGTCATCCCTACCCCAATCCCAATCTAAGTCCTTTCTGACAGTCCCTAAGACAAAAGTCCCACCTGCCTTGGTCACATCCTGTCACCAATACAAAAGACCTCGATCCACTATGCCAGATGAATGAAAGACAATGCGGTGTGCGAGTCAATGTATGGAATCCTGGAGGTCCTTACTCTGCTACATTTATCTTTAAAATTGTCACCTAGGTGGTTTCCACGGACTTTACCGGCGATCCCCATTCGTCTATCTTCGATGCTAAGGCTGGCATTGCCCTCAATGACAACTTTGTTAAACTCATTTCCTGGTAAAGGGGACAGGAAGAGGTTGGCAAGAGGGCACGGGCACACACACACACACACACACACACACACACACACACACACACTGATGCCTTCTTTCTCACCTCCCCAGGTACGACAACGAAGTGGGAGAGGTTGGCAAGAGGGCACGGGCACACACACACACACACACACTGATACACACACACACTAATACACACACACTGATACACACACACACACACACACACACACACACACACACTGATGCCTTCTTTCTCACCTCCCCAGGTACGACAACGAATATGGCTACAGTAACCGGGTGGTCGACCTCCTCCGCTACATGTTTAGCCGAGAGAAGTAACCCGGAAGGCTCCTCCTTGCTTCCCCGCGCACCTTACGTTCCTGCCTCGGGTCCCCTTAGAAGGAGGTCGCGCGGCTCTCGCGCCGCCACCAGGTCAACAATGAAATAAAAACCAGAGTGCGCACAACTTCGCCTTCTTGTCTCTGCGCCGATCACCGTGCACTCGGGGCCGGGTTCAATGTTCAGATGGACGAGAAAGAGGTGGCGCTTGGTTCCGAGTCGGGTGCCACTTGGGAGGGCACACGCATCTCTGCGGTGGAACACCAGTCCTCAGGGGCGTAGGGCTCTGGAAGCCCCGCAGTGGGGCGGGAGGTGGGCTCTCTGACGTCACGGCGCGCGCCGTGCCAGGCCGACTACAATTCCCATAAGGCCGCGCGCGGGCTACGACAATTAGGTGGCGCCAGGTCCGGGTGCCGGCAAGGCCGAGAACCTTGCCCGGAGGAGACGCCGCCTGGCGAGCCCCGCGCTGGCGGGACCGGGCGGCCGGCGTCATGACCCTGTTCCACTTCGGGAACTGCTTCGCCCTCGCCTACTTTCCGTATTTCATCACGTATAAGTGCAGCGGCCTGTGAGTGCAGGGCGGGCGCGGGGCGGAGAGGGTGCGGGTCCCGGGCCGACCCCTCACCGCCCGCCCGCCCGCTTCTTCAGGTCTGAGTACAACGCCTTCTGGAAATGCGTCCAGGCCGGAGTCACCTACCTCTTTGTGCAGCTATGCAAGGTGAGGGACTCCGGGACTCCACGTGTTTGGCCTCCAGGCATTCCAGACCTCAGGGACCCGGCTCTTCTGTTTGTCGCCCTCCATGGGACCACCCTCGAGACAACGCTTAGGGACTGTGCCCGAATACCTTATAAGGGGTGGAAGCCCAGGGGAGTCCTTGATGTAACTTTTTCTTAGCTCTTTTGGTAAAATTGAGAAAACCTCAAGTGTTGGCTAAGCGATATTTCACCCACAGGGTGTCGCATGGTGCTGCTTACGCTATTCTACGCATGCATTCACTCTGGCATTTCTAGACTTCAGATTCCCCTGTGAACTTACAGACTTCTTGGAAACCAGGCATCTGCTCTCTGTCTCCCCCACTTTGTGATCGTGCCAGTTATACCCAGAATGGCCCCAGAACCCAACGTCCTGCCCTCCTCTTGCACTCACTTTCCACAACACCCGCGTGGTTTTAGCTCCATCACCTTCGGGTGACCTTTCACTTTCTGTTCTCAGATGCTGTTCTTGGCCACGTTCTTCCCCACCTGGGAAGGTGGCATCTATGACTTCATTGGGGTGAGTTGATCACGTAAGGGACAGGGAGTGGAGGAGTGGATTCGCCTGGCCCCTGTGTTTACTCAAGCCTCTACCTGACCCACAGGAATTCATGAAGGCCAGTGTGGATGTGGCCGACCTGATAGGCCTAAACCTTGTCATGTCCCGGAATGCAGGCAAGGGGGAATACAAGATCATGGTTGCTGCCCTGGGCTGGGCCACCGCTGAGCTCATTATGTCCCGGTGTGTGGAGCAACCTGGAGCCCAGACTTCTGGGAAAGGGCACCTGGGTCCCAGAGGGGTACCGGAGGGTGGGGATCAGAGTCTGAGTGTTGAGGGGGTCGGGGTACTGGAGACTCCCTCCCTTTACCTTCCTCAGCTGCATCCCTCTCTGGGTGGGAGCCCGAGGCATTGAATTTGACTGGAAATACATCCAGATGAGCATCGACTCCAACATCAGTCTGGTATGCAGTCTTGTCCCCACCCCACCCCATTTTCATGCTGCTAACTGCACTTCTCCCCGAAACTCGGCCCCAGCTTCTCACTTCCTTCCCTCCTCCCTGCAGGTCCACTACATCGTTGCATCGGCTCAGGTCTGGATGATAACCCGCTATGACCTGTACCACACCTTCCGGCCTGCCGTCCTCCTCCTGATGTTCCTTAGTGTCTACAAGGCCTTCGTCATGGAGTGAGCTGGATGGGGTTTGAGGCTGGGTTCAAATGGGGGTGTGTGTTCTCTTTCCTTTTCTCATTATGATTTTTCCCCACAGGACCTTCGTCCATCTCTTCTCTTTGGGCAGCTGGACAGCCCTGCTGGCCCGGGCCATGGTGACGGGACTGCTGGCCCTCAGCACCCTGGCCTTGTATGTTGCTGTTGTCAATGTACACTCCTAGCTTGGTGGTCCGGGTGTTGGCATACCTTTTCGCTGCCTCTCTCCAGATTTTAGTGAAGTAAACAGTGTTTGGAAAGTTTTTTGTGCATTCATTTCTCTCTTAGAAATCAATGCTAGAACTGTGTCACTTGGGTCCCACAGAGCCTGTCTGGCTTCGGAACCAGGAGACAAGCTGGCCAGTCCTCCTGGTTTCCCCATGGGAGCTTGATCATTGAATAAGCTAAGGAATGGGCACACTAGAGTTGAAGAGGGAATTTGGGGTAGAGGCAAATTCCTCTTCTCCTTATATCTTGCCCTGAGCCCTCTTCCACATGGAGCCTTCCCGGGGCTGGCTGCCTCCAACACTCAGCCTGTACTTCCCCCTCTGATCCATCCACTGTGTGACAGCTGGGGGCGGGGGTTGATCTGAAACCTGTCTAACTAGGTCACCATCCTCAGCTTATAGCTCTCCGTGTTGCCTCATTGTACAGCTGACAGTAGCCTGTGCCATTGCCCTTGATATATCTGGAGCTGCTCCCTGGGATGATTTCCCTTGTCAGATTCCTATCATCATTCAAGCCACAAGGCCACTGTGAAGAGTTCCTTGATTCTGAGCTTCTCCATGCTTTGACTCAGTTCTGCAGCCTTAATCCTGGCCTAAGTCTATTAAGGTGGAACTTGGGGTCAGCTATCGCTAGATAGCGCTTGAGCCCACCATCTTGGCTACTGTCCTAGATGCTAACTCCACCACAGCAGCCATGCCCTTCCTTGGTCTTCCCAGTGTCTTCACCCCCCTACCGCAGGGGAAGGAGGACAGTTCCCCATCCCACTATCTCTGGGCTCTGAACTGTGTGTTGTTTCACCTTAGACATCGGAAAGGCCGATTCCTTTAAGCTCTGTGTGACAGTCTGTTTACAGAAGGCACATTTTCCCATCACATGGACCCCCTTCCCCTCCCCTACTCCCACCCTTCCTCGGTGCCCTGAATATTACCCCGTAGCTGTGTGTACTGAGGGTAAAGAATGTCCTTGACTTTGCACGGACAGAAAGTAGATGGGTGCACACTGGACATACATTGGGATCACTTTCTCATGCACCTCTATCTTGTGGTCTGCCTGTTCCATCGTGGAGATGACAGAACTAACCAGATCCCTAATGGAGAAACCAGGGCTATGGTTAGTGTTCTGGTTGGAAAGCAGGGTTTATTGGGACACAGAAACTACCTTACCCAGCCTGTAGGTAGGGGGTGCTCAAGGGAGGGTGTATCAGCTGAGTTCTAAAGGACCAGTTAGGACAAGCAGAGAAGGACTTGTTGAATTGAATGTAAAGGCCTAGGGTAGTGGTGATGGCCTTGGCTTCTGGGACACACCAGACTGTTTGGCTCCAGATCTGCTGGGCTTGAGACACAGTCTAGTAGCAGGGGCCAGAGCTGATGGCTGACGATGATGTTGACCAGGGCACGGGTTGGTTTGGGGTTTTGGAAGCTGTCCATCGTAGTGGTGTGGAAAGAGATGAACCAGAAGGCCTAGGTGGAAGAGTCCCTCAGCAGGGATGGACTAGAAGTGAGGTGCTGACAGTGTTGATTGGTTGGCTAAAGGGAGAAGTCACAGGTAAGGGGCAAGAGCCCAGGACACCACTCGTTTGGGGCTCTACGGCTCCCAAGAGCCTTCCACCCTTAGAGAAGACTGCACAGCAAATGGGGATAGGTTGGAGAGTCATGTGGACACCAGTGTGGGTTACCTCAGGAGAGGCTGGAGACAGATGTGGGCATGACAGGAGAAACTGAAGTCCTCGGGGCGTGGGGATGGGGTAGTGGTAGACAACAGGGAGGAGAGACAAGCAGAGATTCCCAGGAAGAGGGGTGGGGTGTTCCCAGCAGCTGGAGAAGTTGGCTCTTTAGGAGCAGGGGTTTGTGGGAGAATCTCCATGATTTGATGAGGACATCAGGGTACAGGCACCAGCACATGAAATCAGAGAAGACCCTGGGGACTGTGGCAAGAGGCTGCTTGCTGTGGAAGTCTGAGTCCCTGTGCCAAGAGGCTGGAGAAGGGGGTGTTACTGAGAATACCCCATCTAGGGCTCACGGGTAATGGTGGTCATACTCTGGATGGTACCTCAGGTCATTATCCCAGCCTGTCTTTAAATTTGCTACCTTACACAAAGAAACGGGAAGTAATTTCCTTAAGGAATCTGCTGGAATTCCTACTCCACTCGAGGTTCTGCCCTAGGCTCTACAGATGCTGCAGCCCTGAACATTAGTCCCTAGGTGGCATGTTTGTGGGAAGTTGAGGGTACTGGGAAACGTGTAAGACTGCACAATTGGTGTGGTATGTGGTTTATTACTGTCCAGCAGAACATGAGGGGTGTGTAACAGCCCCTAGGCTACCTTCTGTCCAGATGGAGTCCTGGGGATGGACATACCTCCACGGGATCTGCCAACTGCTTGGTCTAGCCCCTCCCACCTCAGAGGACTTGTCTGGGGTGCAGCTGCTCCAAGACAGTATGGAATTTTGGGGTGAGAGGAGCAGTAGCCCCTCCAAGGGGTGTGTGGGCTGCAGAAGTGGGTACAGCCAGGGCTGGGAATCCGCTGCATAGATGTTTTGATTGTCACCATAAGTCCCATCCCCATCACACTGCTAGTAGATGGAGAGATGACCGTCCCTCTAATAGTAGAGTTCCTGGTCCCACCAGCCTGGAGGAGACAGAAGGAAGGCAACTCAGTGCTGGGTTACCCAAGCAAGAGCAAGGTTCAAAGCAGTAATGGTTTGATTCAGAGGGTCAAAGACTTGAAGTCATATGTTAAAGGTCAGGGGGCAAAGGGCTGCTCTAAGAACCATTCAGTTCTCTTCCCCCCCCCCCCCCTTCCAGGCTCCTAG